CAATTACCACTGAAATCGCTTGTCACTCATTCTGCCTCAGTTCTAGTAACGGTGACGTATGCGAGCCTCAGTCGTTTACACTCTTTCTCCCCGGCGTGTGGGACCGCAGCTAACAGCAGTACGCCTACAACCCTTCTCAGGTTGACGCTCTAGGCTGGAAAATCGTCGCAGAGTTCATTTGCTGACCTCCTCCTATCAGCTATATCCTCAAATCTGAACGGTAACACGCTCATGTCATTGTATCGTAAAATATAGATGACGAACAAACACACGACGTATCTGGTCAACCAAGCGTAGACACAGAGTAATTTACACCAAAGTTAATAGCATTCAAATAGCAACTTGAAACTAGAAATGCCTTTATTCGTGCAAGTCAATTTAACAATTACTCTCTCGTTTACACTTGGCTTATCCTCACTAAACTGAGCAATAACTTTCGTCTTTTCAAATGCACTTATACTATCATAGTCATTGCACAAGATACTTGAGTTCATGGGCGACTCTTTCATTGTGGATGACAACACCAACGACTACTGAGTGACACAATTTGATGAAGTTAGCGGTGATTCAGAAGCTGTTGTTGCTCGGCTTTCAGAAATTTGTCTACCTGCAAGACCGCCACCACTGCCGTCATTTACTATCAGCTCAAATTTAGCACTAGCATCTGATGATAGGTGGGCTACATGCTGATCAATCACACTGACGGTCTCACAAGTACGCATGCCTGCTGCAACTGCACCTGCATTTATTTCTACTTCACGTTGTAGTTGTACAGAACCTTTATTCAACTTAGCGGTAGTAGGCATTCCCTCCATTTCATCATGATCAACCAAAGAGAAATCTGCACTATCATGACCATTATCACAAATATTCAATTTACCGTCAAGTTCATTAATTTCAAACTCTTTAATAACAGAAGTAGACAATTTTGGTTCCTCCTCGCAAATCCTTAAAGGTTCTATATCTTCACTCTGAATAGTAATACCTTGTAAACTTGTGGAGTCAGAACTGCACTCTGAAGCAATAACTCTATTCTGTGACACTCTATTCAACAATGGCTTACCAGTTGCAACTACAGACTTCTTCACCACACCGTTATCGTCACACAATTCGGAGTCAGACCTGGAGTTGACATTTAGCTTATCACTGAACTTGCTCACTGATTCACAGTTCACCTTTTTATGCACCGCTTGCAAACGTGTGAAACACAACCGTGTTTGTCTTGCATCTTGTAACTTATCTATTGAGGATGTACTACGAAACCTGTTACACTCACTAGGTCTATATGCATTACTAAACATCATGGAGCCTTCTCGATATCCACCTCTCTGAGGCCTACTTGTCATCAATGATTACATTTTTATCTCAGACTGATCTATTCTAGGCGTGAGATATAATAGACTGGCGAACATGCTCATAGATAGATTGAGGCTATCTTTTACTAGTTTCAGGATATCATCAAACTTTGGCTCGATACCCTCATCCTCCATACGGGAGCTTATCTTCACCCACTTCTTTTGCAGTCGAATAGGTAGACGTCTTGCTATTACTTCTAGTATAAAACTCGAGTTAAGGTCACTCATGCGATTCATCGAAATCATTCCATTCTTGTAAATTAGCAAATTATCTAAAAACTCAGTGAGTGCCTGGGAGTCATCCTGTAATTGACCACCATTACCCTTAACAGCCTCGAATAATTTCTCTACAATTATCGAAATTCTTCCAAACCTTTGACGTAATATGCTCATAGCCTCGTAGTAGCCCTCTTTTGGCTTCATAAACTTACAGCACTGTATAGCTCTTGCAGCAATTCCAGTGCAATACCTCATCATGTACATTAACTTCAATTCATCACTTAATAAAAAACTACTCAGCATGATCTCAAACTCCTTTACAAATTGTAAATAATCAGCTGGGTTTCCATCAAAACATCGTGGTTCAAATTTAGGGAGTTTGATGTTCCTATTATCCCTGAACGGCGAAACAGTAACATCAACCATGTCATGCTTAACATCAGACACATCGTTACAAGTAACAGACAAGTCACCATGACTTACTTTCCTGTTTGTATCCAAGACACTCTGTCCCTTCTTTGACCCAGGCATTGTTGAACTTGACCCAATTCCAAAAACGTTCAGGATATTGCTTGTTCAAAGAGGACTTGACCGGCACCAGGAAAGATGAACGGCGACTATCCAAACTTTCACCAACTGTTTGAATCCGCCAGATCTGTTTCCATCGTCAGAAACTGTCAATCACATCTCATAAACTGTTAATGCCCAGCTCTCGCTACGCTCGGGCCCACGCTGTTCCTTGAAGATTTCAGAAACGCTTAGTTATAACAGACGAATAAACCAAAACACCGATCTGCCGCTTGATATTTCTTTATTGTTACACCAACATATAAAAGTAATAAGCGAACTAAGTTTTCTGACGATGTTTCACTCTTCTTTCTGAACAGCGACCGATGAGACGATGACTGTCGTATTGATGCCTCCGCGAAAATTGGGGAAGTTGGTTTTGAGCAAACAACCATGAATTGATCGTTCAATCTTCAACTCCATTGGCAAAAGTTGTTTCGAATCTTCTACATCCGTGAATGAATTGATTGATGTTAAAGACAGCAGATGGGGCGTATACGCCGGGGAGTCTATTGCTGAAAATGAAATGCATACGGAGATAATTGTTAGCTGCGGTCCCACACGCCGGGGAGAAAGAGTGTAAACGACTGAGGCTCGCATACGTCACCGTTACTAGAACTGAGGCAGAATGAGTGACAAGCGATTTCAGTGGTAATTGGTAATTAGTAGATAAGAGGATGTTCGTGGAGTATCATGAGGTGGTGCTGTGGTCACGTCGCATTCTGCAAGAGTCATTCTAGCAAGTGGCGATTTTGTTGCAAGAGGATGCCTTTAACCTGAATGCGGAGGTCGTCATCGATATGTGAGATTATGCTGTGAGTATGTTTGTGGTGTGTTGGCTTTTCTGTTTGTTTTCCATTTCAGCTCTGTCCGTGTGACCCAGGTTCTCGCAATGGCATCCAAGTCAACGTGTATTGGTCGTGATAGAAAAAAGGGATGGATCCCTTTTTTGCCGGGGAGTGTCAATGGAGTTGAAGATTGAACGATCAATTCATGGTTGTTTGCTCAAAACCAACTTCCCCAATTTTCGCGGAGGCATCAATACGACAGTCATCGTCTCATCGGTCGCTGTTCAGAAAGAAGTCAGTAGCAAACCGTCAGAAGTAATATTGTGATTTATTATTGTAATATTTGTTCACAGACCTTAGTGATAACATTATTTATATGTTGGTGTTACAATAAAGAATTCTCGAGTGGCCAATCGGTGTTTTGGATTTTGCGTCTGTTAGTACTAAGCGTCTCCTAGAAACTTCGAGGAACAGCGTGAGTCCCAGCGCAGCAAGAGCTGGGCATTGACGGTTTATGAGTCGTGGCTGACAGTGTCTCTCGATCGGAATATGAGTTGTTTTTTCAATTTCGTTGCCAATGGTTAATACCCTCTGTGCAAACGCCAGTACGGAATAATTATCCCGTTAATCCACGGCAAAACGTCGATCTGCATATAACTGAAAGATACCCTGGATAAAAGTGTTTACACAGAAATTGGTGAATTCGGGAATATGACGTTGTGGGTGGATGAAATTTCATCACCAATCATGATCGCCGATCGGAGCATATAATATCCCTCTCAGTCGAATATTCCATTTATTCTCAGGTTTTATACATGAGGGACGCCAGTTTACATGCATCATCAGTGTGATAAATAACATACGAGCAGTAAGCATATTTACAATTGTTCACTTACATAAATGTACACAGAAAAGTTTACGGGGCAGTGCCTATAATGTTATTTACACAGGATTGCTGACTTATAAAATGTCTCACGAATATGTTTACGGCCTATGGGCTCACATCCTGACAAAAAGCTAAGCAGACTATTAGAGGAAGAAAAATCACCTGACAGGTGGATCAAATAATTAGAAGTCTTCTGAATACGGTGCGACAAGTTGTGTCAATGGAGGTGAACATTGAACATTTTTGGAACTGGTAGCTATTGGTGGGCAACTCGAAGGCGCGAATGGTTCGATCGTGTACAAGTTCGAAGAAGAGGATCAAAAACGAATAAAGGTACATACTAAATTTGTATCAAACATTCGTTTGTAGACTTGTACTATTCTCTACTTTAATTGCCAAACAATATAACTTCCTTCTTACAATACTGGTGTTTTGGAGTTAAAGTCGAAGAAAGTACATAGTATTTATCGGTGCGCAGCGTCTTCGTAACAATAGGAGCTTAGGGATAATCACCTCGACAGTCATCTTTTGTGCTTCTTCACAGAATCATGCTCGACTTCGTATGTTTATTTCTGTGAAAACGGGCTGTTTTCGAATAAAGATTTCTCACACAATGTTTTAATAGTCTGTGGCAAACCATAAACACTTACGAACCTTCGCGTCAACTGAGTTCGAGCGTTTGTTCATTTAGCGCACGGTTTGAATCCCGTGATCTAAGCCTGTTAATTTTGATATTTGAATTCAGAGATTTAGAAGGTGATTGCTTTAGTATAAGTCAGATATTTTCACAAAGCGTTTTGTATGCACTCTTATTTATGTCACTGTGCACTCTATAGCGTCACCAGCAGTAGATAAGAGCACCAGCAATTTTGATATATCAGTCCAGTGCACTCTAATTAAAATATCCAAGTGTAACAACAGAAGACAAGGGCGAAGCAACAGATCGTTTTATTATGAAAATCAACACGTATTTATACATCTTTCAACTACATTATTATAGACAAGCGCAGTCATCTGATTGGTTGTTTAGGTAGACAAACGCAGGCTTCTGATTGGTTGTTTCGGGATTCCTTGACAAATAGAGTTCTCTCTGCGAATCATATTTTGCCACGTTAACTTTGCTGTGATTGGTTGTTGACTCAGGCTTGTTCATATTTTCTCACGGCCCATATTAGTGACCTAGACCTTAACGTAGATTAGTGCCAACCAATCGGCTAGCAGCCTGCTCTCACCCCCCAAGGTGGTTCCTTTTGCCCCGCCTCTCGTGTTGCCTCGATATCCTATTCTAACCACATTCCCCGTCCCAATCCCCAACAATTTCAAAGTATTTTGACATAAAAAGGAATTTTAAACTTTAATTATTAAAGCTTTAAACTTTGAAAAGTCTCTGATATTTTGCCACGTTAACTTTGCTGTGATTGGTTGTTGACTCAGGCTTGTTCATATTTTCTCACGGCCCATATTAGTGACCTAGACCTTAACGTAGATTAGTGCCAACCAATCGGCTAGCAGCCTGCTCTCACCGCACAAGGACTGAACTTGCACTTATGCCCTACTTGGTGGTTGTAGTAGAGACGGTGGCATGCCTTACCTCAACTAAAATAAGGTCATTTCTACAGAGAACAGAATCACTACCGTTAATTGTCCCATATATCCGTTCGCCTCCGAAGGCGAATGTCCATTTCACTTGATTTGAATTGATTTTTAGGAAACTCACCTCATCTAATAAACAAGTTGTCTTAAAATTTAGTCGATCAAGACTAAGTGATATCTGCTTTTCCTAGAACCTCCGACCACCATTTTTCGGGACACAAAGTGGAGATACACATGTGGATATAAACCTTGATGACTGCGCATATACTTTAGCACGTTTCTACAGTCACCTTATTGGTGAGATGTAAGCGATTATTAGCACAGAATTTAAGTTCTTTGTTAGTGTTAAATTAGAATGACAAGAAATTAGGATAATGGTTGAACTGATACGCGAAACCTTCTTCGTTTTATGCATGTAGTTGCACCGGTTCCTGAAAATTAGGCGTCTCCACAAGCGTTATTATTAAGCAGAGTTACTGATACTATAAGAAACGATGAAGCTTTTTAGGTCTGTGTATATGTTAAGGCGTAGAGAAGTTAAGATAGTTGGAAAAGCCAACTGTTAGGTTGAGATAGTCTTTTCCGAGCCAGATGTCAGCTAGCTAGATTGCCACCCCTCTATGAGTTGCAAAAGATTTAGACACTGAGATACTGTTTTAATTGATAGCTACCACAATCATGCCGAAGAACAGTGGAAATTAATCACAGCCATAGAAAGATCCTCTTTGAGAACTGAATCATATAGTCCAGACACGATTCCAAGATGAAGAAGCCAAGCAGAGATAGAGAACAACCGAGCGCAACTCTGTGACAACAAAACGATGTTTGAATTAGGTAGGAGGATGACTATAAATATATTATAAAATCCATTCCTTTGCAGAAATATTCAATAAAATAGAGTAGAGGGATTTCTTTGGCGTTATTATCTGAACACATTTGCGTCCAGAGAGTATACATATAAGCTGGGTAGATGTCCACATAACGAATATTTATAGTTATGGAAGTTAAGAACCAGGAATTTCTGTTGGCTGTTTAAGCTTGCTAAGAAAACAGATGCACGAACACCTCTGAAAGTCGTCATCTCTGTAATGTGAATCTGCATACTCTCCTCAAATCGACCATCAATCAATACATCCTTCAGCAGCCGTGACAGTATACTCTCCCTTGGCTAGCTGGAGTTGTGTTAAGAACAGCCCAGCTACCTGACTAGGTGGGCTGGGCTAGAGAGTTAGCAGGTAGCGTTACCAGAGCCTATGACTAGTAAGATAGATGGCCATACATCCACCATGAACGTTATTTCTAGCCGCAAACAACTGGAAGCTAGCTCAAAGTTGTTCAAGCAGCCTAACTAATTTGTTTTCTAGAATAATACGTCAGCAACACTTCTACAGAATAGGCATATGGCAGAAACAGTCGGCAGGTTAAAATGTCGACAACAAATCCATTCTCAAGATAAGGTGGTTGTATAAGTCAGTCGCAGGCGGCTGGCATGAAGTCTCAGTTAACCTAGGTTTTATACTAGTTGGCACTCAACATTCAGCAGTGCGTATCTGTGATCTGTAATGAACTTATGTCTCTTCTGAGACTCGAACCCGCATCATCCAGTGCTGCAGTCAGTGACCTTACCACTGCACTTAGCTATTCGGGCTTGCGACTGACCTCCGGAGGTCCACATCGGATATTTTGGATTGATCGCTAGTCAGCATCTAGTGAAATGTGTCTAGTTCTATCTTTGGTACAGGCTGAATTCCAATCAAAATAAGTCGGTTATGTAAGGTCCTGTATTACCAAGTAGAGATAGTGACTATTTATCAAAGTATCAGAAGTGAAAAACCTAAAGGACACCATATACACCTAGTGTATAGAATGTTTGACTGATTGCTTTCATTTTTAAAAAAACAGCGAAGACGAGCATGTGGTGAAGAAAGTAGATGCAACCGAAGACTTTCCTCTCATGATTTACGTACTTAATTTTTACTGTGACTTACATGAGGTTAGATAACCAACTGAGCGAAACTGGAATATTTTAGAACGTTTACAAGTGTTAAAAAGCAGAAGCTTACCATTCTGACACCAAATGACACAATTCTAAATTACATGGAAGCCACAAAACGTTTTAGATAAACGGAATAATTAGTTTTTTATTTAATTTTTATTACAGCTTGATTCCACACTGTATTTTTGGCACTAGTATGGAATTTTCAGCATGGATATCGGTAGCCCAAATTTTTCAGCCCGACCATAGATAACTGGTGTGCGTCGGCAGGGGATCGAACCTCGGACCATGTGCATGGTCGGCGAGAGTCCTAACCACTGTCCCACCGACGCACATAGTACTTAAGATTAATCGATCCAATCCTTCCCTTTGGTGTATAATTTTGGCACCAGACGTTAAAAAGCGTCATGGAGTGACCGTAACTTCTGAATTGTACACCTTGTAATTCTTTACAGTATATGAGGATCCTTTCGATATAGACAGAGGTGGTATTTGAAATATCAACCAAAAATTTAAACAATTTTTAGATCTCTTAAGAAGATAGCTACAACTAAATCGTTAGCAGTATTGATGTCAGCAACTCTGATAAGACTTTGCAACTTACTGCACAGTTATTGTTTTTCTAGTCCATTCATAGAATGTTGCTATTATCGACATGCTGGCGCATGAAATAAAAAAGTTGCTTTTCGTAGGTTTTCTTTCATAACCGAATATCACCTTGACTCAGGAGCAAGCGTTCCTTTTTTATGCTTCCAGTTACATGATCTGTCAGTGTATATATGTATATAACCTAGGAGTCTTTGTAAATGGCTTAAAATCTGTTAGTTTATTTATGAATATCTTATGTGTAAATTTAGGTATTAACACTAATTGACAGCTTGACTTCCCGAAAATATGCCGCAATAATATATGGTTAGTTTTTTAGAAGCGTTATGAGCTCGGCTTACAAACAAAATTATAGCCAACTGCCAAATGCTAAGACCTTATTGTTATTCGTTCGTTTTGTATTCATTTCAGTAGGAAGGCATTATTCCCTGTGAACTTCACTTATTACTGTGACTAAATAGAAAAGATCGAGCAGTATAGGGGTAATGCAGAATTTTAAAGGAAATTTTTCGGTGAATTAGCGGCGAAAAGCGTTTGCCCCAAAATTTTTACTTGGGTGAAATGAGGTTCGCCTGGCCAAAATGAATATACATTGGTTCATGACGGTGATGGGATTAATTATTAGCATGAAGATGGTACCTTAAAAAAATTTCGGCTGACAAACGGTATACATTATAATGTCGCTTTGAAAGTGATCTGATCAGTTTTACAGAAATTTTTGACAGATTGAAGATCTTTCAGTCTTTCCAGTATACACAGACCTATTTTCACAATATTCCTCACAAGAAATATTGTTCCTTCTTTCCAATGCAACTGTAAATCAATAACCAATAACGGATACTGTCCATTTATTCATTTCAGTAAGCATAACGACGGGAAAGTTTTGGTACATACAACACTGCTAAATTCAGTAAATGTTCAGAAGGTATTCTTAATCAAACGTCCATATTTTATTCGCACTATGGGTGGCACACTTCATGCGTTCCCATTCTAAATATTTTGGTTGCCAAGACTTAAACAGGTCAGCTTATGATTGAGATTTCCAACGCCGTCTACCATAAGACACGCTTCACTGAAGCCATAAGTAAGCATGGCATATTTTCTGTCCACTGTTTTGAATTGTTGCCTATGAAGTATTTTTCATGCGATCAAACCATTCATGGTATACGGTGAACAAAATTCTTGAGTTTACTGAATGAGTTTCAGCATAGAAGTTGACACAAAAGTGTAGCATTTCAAGTTTTCACGTAGCACTCAAACACAGAAAAGAAAAAGAAAACGGATTGAAGAGAAATATAAGAAACAGAAATGTGATGGGGAAAGTAGCAAAACAGGAAATCATTAAGGTGTAAAGGATATGGGGATTTATGGATTGAAGACGTCTGGACGGTTTTGAGGCACATCGTCGATAGGATCCAGCCACTGATTTTTAGCATCTCGAGGATCCCAACTAGGTAGTCCACACTTCCCCACGTAGCGCAAACCAACTATTCAGAGATTTTATGAACTGATGTCAGGTTTTGGTTTGACCACTACTAACACTTTTACAACCCAACTCCATGTAATTTAAAATTGATTTTCAAGGAAGGAGGTTGCTCAACATGTACGACACCTTTCCTAGCCATCTCAGTATTCAAGCCAATGGTAGTTGTTCCTTTTTATCAAAGACGATTCAACCCAATAGTTACTCGATCTTCATCCTTCTTGAGAGGTCGATATTTACGAAACAAAGAATGTCGACGCGTACGCAGTATGCAACTACATGATAATGCGCGTACAAATCATATAACGCCTTATGCACATGCTCCATATGACCAGATAGGGGTTAAAATCTCAAATCAGAGCAGCTCTTTGTTCGATCTTCCCAAATGTATTTCGGAACCAGAAACGTAGGGTAAAGAGTCTGCACAAACAATGGAACATAACACGAAAGCGTACCAGAATGGCGTCGATGCTTGATCTCAAACCTTCAGCTTAACCAGTCAACTCATGCAGTAGTGAAGGTCGGCGCCAAATGGTAAATAGTGATGCTTACCGTTTTATAGATTATTTACCACTACGAATACGTTGTGTTTTGAGTTGTCTTGCGGACACGCATCAGAACAGATTTTTGCAACATCAATCTCACCACAAACTGAGAAGGCGCTACTATTCAGAAGATATATTATGAAGTGAATATTTAATTACCGACGTACTTGATATAAATGGATTGTAAAAATGATTTATTTTTTAACTATTTACTTTCAAGATTAAGATACCAAATGTTTACGCGTTGTTTAGTTTAGAATACTGAATATTTATACCTCTCTAGTGACTGCTGCTTTCAGTATTATTTGTGAGAAGTCAGAAATACCTTAAACAATATTTGTCTTTTAACATGCTAAACAATTCAAGTAATCGACAAGAACTAAAGCTATAAGTTTATTTTGTTGTTTCAGGTTTCTCCAATCTCTACTGACTTTGAATAATACATGCGACATGAACAATGGTTGTTTTACAAATAAAGCAAGAACGAACTTACGGTCTACGGTTATCAACTCAGAACGTCAATGCACAGGGGTGTTTAATAAAAGAATATGAATTCGACCCCGATGTATGCACCTTTCTCAAAGAAATCCACTTCATGAACTCTTACTGCAAACGTGTTTCAGCTCAACTTTGTTATCAGGAAACAGTAAGTAGTATGTAACACATGATAACAATTAATTCTCTAGGACACAGGCGAATCCACTTGGGTGGAACTTTTTAAATTGGAGCTAATGAAGAATGCCCACTTGCCTCGTGGTGCATGTGCTCACGTTAAAATAATGCTACCTCCAACATTTGAGACAGTAAAGTCCACAAAACGCTTACTTAGATTACGCGTACTATTACAACAACCCTCAACAATTTGGAAGGAATTCACGATAAAAAATTTGCAATTGTTCGACGAATACCTAGTTCACGATAAAAAAGAAACTACAGGAGATGGTGAGGGTCACAACACTTCGAGTGTGAATGAAGCACATGATAACTTAGGAACACTTTGCAGTCTCATCGACTATAAGCAAGGAGCACGAAGTTCTAGATATGTAAGCAAACCAGATATCTCAGTGTTAACCAATGGACACTTTGAGACGACATGAAATAAGTGTAAAACCTCTTGAAATAAGCTTTATTATCTGGATACCATGAATTCAAAATACAACTCAACGTATGAAAGAAAAGCACCTACCGATACGATGCTTATATTATATTATATATATATATATATAGGCTGTTACGGAGACTATCTTAATATGAAGAGATAAAGGGGAGTGTTTGGCCCAGCAGAGGTTCACCGTACCAATCCAATATCCAAAGAAAATGCCGGACAAAATGTACTTTAAACACGTTTTAAACTATAACTACCATGGATAAAGTAATTTCTTAATTGCTTCGTTCTTAATATACTGACAATTATTATTTTTATAAATATATGAAGCACAACGATTTATTGTTTTTTTAATTTAATTTTGATTACAGGTTGATGCCACACCGTATTGTTGGTACAAGTATGGAATTTCCAGCATGTGATATCGGTAGCTCGAATTTTGCAGGCCGACCATAGATACCGGGTGTGTCGGCAGGGAATCGAACCCCGGACCATGTGCATGATCGGCGAGTCCTAACCGTTATGCCACCGACGCACATGATAAAATAAAGTTTATCTAAACTATGCAGTGTATTAGAACAGGATATTTTGTGCAGTGTTACTTGTTAAAACATTTAATCTTCGAACGCAATCACTTCATACAATCAGAAGTATCAAACAACTAAACAATATATGAAGTAAGGACAGAAACTTTTCAGATGTGTGGAAAAGTTTGAATTCCTATTCTGGTGGACCACAATAACGACTCTTTACAAATTCGTCAGATTTCCTGACAAGTAGCCTCATATACTTCATTTGCTTTTGAGACATCACACAGCTATGCCATTTCAAATTAACTTAGTTATACAGTATTTTGTCGGCTACCTTCTTGATTCACTGCTAGACACAGTAAGGTAAATAGGATATTTTATTTCTATTCAAGTAGTGCAGAAACACCAGTTTCATACTGATCGGTAGGTCTGACAGCACCGAAAAGTTGAAATTTCATAAGTGCGTATGAAGAGATCTAGTCCTATATGGGGAATGGTTAATCAAAATTTATTTATATAACATCAGACAGAGAATTATGCGGATAACCTAAGAAAATTTATATAGAAACACTCCATTTATTAATGAAATCACTTCCAAAGTCTGCACAGACGTATGTATACTAAGTGAAACATAAAACATTCTATCACTGAATAATAAGGGGGGGTTACGTCATCAGTCCAACTATCCAGAAGTGGTTTAGAGAAACAAGACAAGTAAAATTAGGTAACAGTCAACAAGACAATAGAAACAAGGCTTCGAAATTTGACGAGGAGGTACTCTGCACTCCAAGTGGAACATACGGCTTCAGGCTTTCGAGTCTCAGTGGCGGGGATGTTGCTTCTTACATGATAAAATTGCTAACCACACACGCCTATGCTTTCATCTCCCCCAGGGCTTACTATCGGCTAGTAGACTACGCGATGTTTAGGAGTCAGATCTTAGGGAATGGAAACCAGACTAGGTGCATGGTTTGAAATTTGACAAGACAACCAAACTAAGAGACTATCAACACCTTACAAAATAAATGTCTTAGCCAATAAACCTAAAATAGTATCTCTGAATGTATAACTGTGACGTCCTTAAACCAACGTGTTTGTCAATTAACTGAATTCTCCTAGGACAAGAACTTTCCATACCACTGCTTATCAAACAAACATACGAAAAAAATGAAGTGCTGGAAACAATGGAATACTCTAAGTCTTAATTATTGTAGTCGTTTGACCATTCTGTTTATGTTCTAGAAATAGAGAGTAAAAAATCACCCTCAGCACTTACAAAGATTGAATAACAGGCTTCGAATTTATAACAACAAATACATATAAAAGAACAGGGATAAAAGTTAATTGACATATTTATTTGTGCTCTTAAATCATTCTACGAATCATTTCATTGATTTGTTCCTCGCGAAAAGCAGTCAGAAAGTCAGAGCGTGCGTGACATCTTCGTGAACCTGACATCCAATCCCGACTGGATGGCATAAGTTTGAATGGACACAAAAAGCGCTGAACAGCTTTGAAATTCGGACCGATTGTTACAAGTTCATGGATGATATCTTCTAAGCACAATATCCCACAATAACCTACAAAAAAGAAACAAACAAAGATAACTCTTAAATTAGAAACCTTAACTAAATTAAATATGCTGACACTATTTCCAAAGGGGTCCAATTAACAAAGAAGTAAAGAATTTTTGAGCATAAAACTCTATCACGTAAAATACACTATTTGGGCATAAATTTGAAAACTTTAGCAAATCTATCGTCAAATTAATCAGGAACCAATATCGGTGCTTACACAAAATAAAACCACCTTTCAAAATATCACTGACCAGGTGATTGATGTCTCAAAATACAACTCTAAACAAAATTGCACTAATTTAAATTACTGCAGTTCCAAAAACTGCACAAAAAAACGAGAACAGAAATAGAACGGTACTACAATGAAATAGGAATGTGATAAAGAGATGTTTATAATTTTGATACAGAGTAGATACATCTATGCTGATTTGACTGATATTGAACCACATCACCAAGAAACTTCAACCACTAGTTTTTACTATTCTAAGCACCTCATAAGGCAACCGGCACCTTCATTTGTGGCTCAATGACTCAGTGAACTAGCACCTAATCGGAAAAGTCAAACAAATACCTGCAATCAAGGACTTGTAATTTTTTATGTCTTTACTTTCAGCAGCCACGGCAGCCATTAAATACGACAGAAAGAATGATATTTCGCAGAATACAGTGAAAGACGAGGTTAGCCAAGCAAGACCAATAAACCAAATTTAATTTCTGTAATTTCCCATCAAGCTTGACGTCACACTAAAAAGACAGATGTTTATGCTACCTAGCTTAGTTCTCATCATAAAAATATAAGGAAACTGTATAACTCTGAAGACAAAACCGGTTTGTAGCAAATAGTTAAGTCAACAGAATGTAATTCCTTTGTAGGCAGTCGGAGATCTTTTAAGGTAATCAATTTAAATCACTTATCCACTTTGCATGTAAGTGGGAATAGATAAACACTTAATGAGTAAGAACGGTTACCTGGAGGTCTGAAAGGTTTAAGAAAATTATCTGCAAAATGACACAAACTTTGGGTGTTGAATATTTCTCTCATGTGAAAATACAACTTGATATCAAAATACGTAGCTGACTCAAATCATCACAAAAATGAATCACCACTACTCACAACTAAATGGACCAGATTCATGTCAGTTAGAGTTCAGTGATTATTACTATCAACAAACCATTTATCTTCTGAATGAAGAACTTGAACTCCATTTGAGAAATTAATCTTGTTTGTGATGATCAGGGTAACATAAACCCACCTGAGCCACGTCTGGCTGTCAAATGTTGGGTTTACAATGCTTCGGTGTATGGAGTCTGGTTCTATGCATATGAAACCCAGTCACTGAGCTAAAGATGCATGACCATTCAGTGTATTTGACCACCTATACCCACGTGGAATTGATTGTATTCGGTTGCATCATCACGTAAGGTCAACGGACTTGTGTTTGGAGACAGTGGATACTGTTTTTCAATAAGTGTGCCATCTAGGAACACCGATTCAGGAGTGGGGTCCGAAAGACTATTCGAATCAGTAACTCCAGGCGTTACCATATACGGCTGTGAACCGTAATTAAAAGAGAACATGCCGCAATTATTTCAATAAAACGTCTTAGTAAGGCACTCTATTACTCCACGACAACAGTATTGAAATTATCTGCTTTATCTGGACTTAAACGAATATGTACTTAAGGTGTATCCATTAGAAAGGATAGACAAGGATATATGGTATTTATTATAAAGGCGTGATGACAGCACAATACATTGAAAATGTTAACAAAGAGACAGACCACATATTAGGTTCATTAACGATGCCACATGATATATGCCCAGGGGTGCTTTCCAATGACTTACTATATTGCTCCATATAATAGAATCTTAGAAAATACAGGCCACACTTGGAGTTTATAAATATTTCATGACATGATAGAATCTGGTGCGCGATCTCTTGAAAATGAAGACGATATACAATTAACCGGACAAACCCTTTTGACTTTACTGGCTACTTAGATACTGTCATATTTTAGATGTCATAGTGACAACAAATATATTAGTTACGAAAAAAGAATAACTGAACACAAGCTGATATAAATACGGTTTTATGGGACTTCCATTTATGATGCACTGCTTCATGTGCGAAGCTGAATTGAAGTGGATATGTTATTACTCTCTTTGAAAATGATATATAAATTAAGATTAATATTGACATGAAACCCGTTACAACCAAAAACCTACCCAATTTCTCTTCTATTATCTTGTTATCTATCGAGTGTTTATGTCTCCCAAGCATCGTGCGTCCACGTTTCATAACCATATCGCGAACTACTTGTATTGACGGATATCCCCATGCAATATGTGGTGAAGCCATATTTAAAAGTTCGAGGGTTGCCTAAGGTAAATATATTAATGACAAAATGTGACAGTGCCTCGGTAATTTTGATAAAGACGGCTTGGTTGTACGTATCAAGGCGCAACAAACGAAACACATTCTTGCAAACATTTGAAATTTGGTCAACTTCTTGCTTCAATCTAATTACAACTCCCAGCTTTGGGTAGTCAGCTGATAGGATGGGAGGCTTTCTGTTGGCAAGTCTTTCCAAGCGAAGCTGATCTTGTGATCGTTTGATACTCCTCTGAAAACCTAGATTACTAAAACACAATTCTAACTCTGATGAAATGAACCGGTGGTCGTATTTGACTCCTGCGTTTCTTAGCACGCTTGCGTATCTCTTCAGCACGTACTCGTTGTTGCTTTATGATATCCTTGCCGACCCGTTTTCTTCTTTTCAGAAGTGTAACAGGCACTGTGTTCAGTTTAATCACATCATTTTCAGCCCTATAATCTAAAATATCGATATTGAAGAAACTCACATGGTTGTGCCGCAATCTTCAAA